ACTACCCTCTCGAGATCGATCAACTTCCCCTTTTTACAGATCGCTTAGGGCAGCTGGATCGAAGATGGCCCCTATCCCCACAGCCGTAGCACCTTGGGCTGTAATTTTTACTGTGGTCGCGAACCGTAACTGCTGCAAACTCCCTAACGTGTGGGAAACGATGATCCTGCCGCCGCCAGGCGGTGCCGTTAGCTGCACTACCGTCTCGAGATCGTTCACCTTCCCTTTCTAAGGTTCGCTTAGGGCAGCTAGATCGAAGATGGCCCCTTTTCCCACAGCCATAGCACACAGGGCTGTATCCTTTATTACGATCGCGAACTGTAGCTGCTGCAACCTCCCTGACGCGAAGGGAACGATGATCCTGCCGCACGGCTTCCACCTCCAGTGCATGCGCCAAGGCGTCCTTAAGCCTTAAGCGTTTCGTGGTGCCCGAGCCTCACAGCAGCTCTGACTTCAAGGTCGCGGATGCCGTCGATGAAAGTCTGCACCAGGTTCCCTTCAATGAGTGCAGGTACAGACTGGTATGCTTTTCGAACCATCTTCTCCACCTCAAGGGCACACTGCTGCAAGTTTTCGTTGCTGCGTTGCACATGATCTCTAAGCTGCGCACGAAAGACGTGTTCCAGATGAGCGTCGCCATATCTCGCCTCCAATGCCTCAAGGAGCTACTCGTAGGTCACTTTCTTACCGAGAGCTTCCAACACAGTTAAAGCTTGGTCGCGAAGGCCTAGGGTGAGTGCAGTCATGGCCTGGCTTTTATTCCAGCCATTCGCCTCCATGACAGCCTCGAACTCGATTTTGTAGACTGACCAGGAAGAAGTCCCGTCGAACGGCGGCACTTTGAACCCACGTAGCGAAGGTGTTGTAGCTACTACGGGAGCTGTAATTCCATCCCCCAGTTTGAGGTCGTCCAGCCTTTTTGTTCACGTCAGCCATCACGTTGTCAACCCAATTGTTCACTTGGTCGATTCGGGTTACAAGCTTTCTCGATTCGGGTTTCAGCTTTCGCGATTTGGGTTTCAGCTTCCGACAAGCGGTTGTCATGCTGAGCAACCCTATCCTTCACCTCCTTTATCTCCTTCCCGAAGGTAGCGTGAAGGTCCTTCATGAGGAGCATCTGCTCTTTCAACCGACGGGCCTGTTCCTCTTGCCCACCCCGCAGTTGCTCTTCCAAACGACGGACCTCCTCCGAGTTCCTCCTGTCGACGGACCTGTGCCTCCTGTCGGTGGGCCTGTTCATCCTGTCCGCCCCGCAGCTGCTCTTCCAACCGACGGACCTGTTCCTCCCGTCGGCGAGCCTGCTCCTGCAGCATCACCATCAGAGTATCTAAGTCAGGTGCTGCAGATGTATTAGCTGCTGACGGGCCAGCCTCCGTTGCTGGCAGCTGACCCTCTGACGTCTGCGGCGTTGCACCACCAAATCGTCTCTGGTCCGTCTCCTGATGGCGTTGATTTCGGGTACGGACACCCTCCGTTTCCTCCTTAGGTAAAATTGGCATGATTTTATCCCACTTCTGGCACCAATTTTTACGAGCTTAGGGTTCGTGACAATAAAAACTGCCGATTGCATTACATAAATTTACACTTTTATTACCAAACACCAATTAAAACTTAAAAAACTAATAATTAATCACACTGATACACTTTATTTTGCTCTAAAGCTTCGCTTGTGTCGCCAAATTCAATACTGCCCCGATCGCGGCTTGCAGCGGCTTTAAATGCACCTTTTACACCGAAACATCCAGAATATTCCAGTAAATACGGGCGCCGACCGACCAAGCGCAAAAAGTTCGAGTGTGGGGCTTCTAGAAAACTTAATTCTTCTGTTCGATACTAGATCGTCGAAAGTCAAGATTGACAATTTTTAGGAAGCCCTCCTCGCTCTGGTCCCCGACACTAGATGGCGCCAGTGCCAGGTAACAGAAGTCAACTTAGGCGCGCAACAATATTAAAAATAAAATAAAAAAAAAGTTAAAATTTGTGAAAACAAAACAACATGACTTAAAAGACCATCACAGGCTGTAGATTTTCTTGAGTTTTTTATAAATGCCTGTAATTTTTAAAATATTTTGCATGCACATTGCAGCGATTTTTTTTCTGTTAACTGTTATGACTTGACCTATGAACCAATTCCAGCTTCACGTCGATTAATGGGGCACCTGTATAAGCAGATATTTGTAACTTTAGCCCAAAGAAACATTTTCAGATAACAGTAGTAGCAGGCAAGAGTGTATCAGTAGAAGAAGTTGTTGCATTCTATGAAAAGCGACGAAGATCGGAAGTTCAGAAGAGCAAGCAAATTAATACTGGGAAGAAAAGAGTTCAATCAGTCAGTTCCAACAAGCAGCAAAACTAAAAATTTTATACAACCAACTTCAATACAAATAATATGAGAACATCACTAATATAATTTAAGTAAATTAAATACACATTATTAAGGACACTAAAAACTACTGGTCAAATCTTAATCAAATTTATTCCCTTTATTCTCCACACCACAAGATAATAATGATCTGTTGAAGGAACAGTAGAAGTTCAAAGTGAAATTACCAGATGCAATAGATGCAAAGCGAGATGATACTAGATCACCAAAACTTCAAGAAAGTATAGAAGTTTCTCCATTGGAGATTGGTACTGAATATGTGATTGGAGAATATGAAGTTCACGATGGATACTGCAGAGAGAGTGACGTGAATATGTTTTCCACCCTTTTGGAAAGGAATCTTAAGAAGAGGGCGAGATAGCAAAACAGATGGTGAAAATATGAAAATTATGTTATGCAAAAGTCATTACAAGAAGGATGGAAGTGGCCTTCCAAACCCAATGTTGTATATTGTAGCATCCAATATGTTGTCAAGTATTTAAAAAAACCTAACAAATTATCAAGAAAAGCCGTTTTTATGAAATAGAAAGTGATTTTTTATTTATGGAGTGGGGAGATCAAAACTATTTGTAAAAATTTTGACATTTTTCAAAAGATTCTAATCCTAACACATTCTTTATTTCTCAATTGGTAAAATTAAACAATAATTTCCAAAAATCAAAGTGCAATGTTACCCTGAATGACTGTTTTATTTTTAATAAATATATTTTAATAATAAAGGGATATTCATTTTGTTAACACTAAGAACAAATACAAGCTATGATAGCAGTTAATTGACTACACCATTTTATAAATTCATTGGGCAATGTAGACATATTTATAACATAAGTCACAGAAAGTATTTAATGTCTGTCCATCAAAACAACACCCCTGCCAAGCATAGCAACTATTGTAAATATCCCTCCTATGAGGCAAACTATGGGGAAGGCCTAGGTTCAGCAGTGGATCTAAATAGGCTGTAATGGTAATGGTATCAAAAGTATAACATTTTTTGTAAGCAAAGACTAAAAAAGATTATTAATAATAATAATAATGTCCTCCAGACCGAATTTCGGCCATGGCGGCCTGCCTCAATGGAGGCTAGCCATCGGCGCAGGACAGGATTATAGTGCCCAAGTGTATGCGCAAGCACAGGTGCACTTTCTACTCCCTCACTCTCGTAATCCGATGGGACGGTAAACCAACACGAACGGGAGAGAGATCAGGCGCAGGACCAATGGCTTTATGTGCTTTCCGAGGCACGGGGGTGAGACACCGCCAACTTCCAGTCTCCGGGCAGCTACTGAGAATTTCTTGACAGAAAAACTCAATAATTGATTTTTGGACCAACCCAGGATTCGAACCCAGGACCTCATGATCAGCAGTCGCACTTCTACAACCACTAGACCAACGAGGCAAGATTATTACAATAATAATTAACACATAGTTGATAATAAGCCCTAATGAGGTCACTAATGCTAAGTTCTTCCTAAATTAATACAAAAAATCTATTAGATAATTTATGTGTGTTACGACATTTTAAAATGTTACTTTGACAGAGGTACAAGGCAGAGGTTTTTCCAAACCAGTTATAAAAGTTAAAATGATTATCAAAACATACTATGATCTATAATTTGTGTTGAATAAAAATTATTATATCCTATTGTATTCAAAGCCAAAACAACATAATATCCTATAAACTATAGAACTGAGATGTGGTCCCTTACTGCTGGCGATATGATAGCAGCTCAAGTTTGCTCAGTTAGATATGGAGAGAACTATGCTTCGAGGTTTTTTTGCATGTTAAACTTAGACAAAAGGATATAGAACCAGAGCAACTGACATAGCCCAACAGTTGACTATTATGTTAACCTGGGACAAATAGTCCAATTAGATAAGTCCAACTTCGATCGAGAGGTCAATCGACTGGTTCAACTCAGCTGGGCAGCGTTTGGAAAATTACGACACATCTTCTCGTCAGGTATAACCTCATAACTTAAAAACTAGATAGTACAACCAGTGCGCATTGCCAGTGATAACTTATGGTTCTGAGATGTGGTCCTTCACTGATGGCCATATGAGGACGCTCAAAGTTGCTCACTGAGCTATGGAGAGGGTTCAGGTTTCTCTGCATGATAAATTTAGAAATGTTGATATTCGCAGTAGAACCAGAGTGACCAACATAGCCCAATGGATTATTAAGCTGAAGTGGCAATGGCAGGCCATATAGCTCAAAGAACTGAGAACCGATGGGGAAGAAAGGTTCTTGAGTGACAGTTCAGTACCGATAGGCGAAATGTGTGGCAGCCCTCCACTAGGTTGAGTGACGACCTAGAAAGATTTGCAGGAAGTCGATGGATGCCGGTGGCTCAGAACCATACTTTGTGGCATTCCTTAGGGGAGGCCTATGTTCAGCAGTGGACTTGTAGGGCTGGAATGAATGAATAAATCAATCCCAAAAATAAACTACTATGAATACAACTAAAATAGAACAAAAAAGTTGCTCCTCCTCAAAAAGATATTCTGTTAACATGATAAAAAGGCTTCTAAAAGGCTTTTACAGCAATAAATAAGTCAATACTTAAATAAATTTAATACAGATTTTACATTGTGTTATGCTTTATTTGAGTGTGCTTACCTCCAACATCAGTAATAATCCAGTCTGGCATAGCAAGGCTAACTATAGCAAAAACATCTGCTGCCATAAATAACGTTCCTGATATAACTGTTAGCTTATCCATTCCAACAGCTTAAAAACTTAAAATGTCAATATATTCACTAGAATACATAAAGACTGAATTACTTATTACGCCTATGCAATGAGCACAGAAATGAACTATAATACACTTATTATGAACGTACTAATACCGCCGTCCAATTTCAAAAGTTGTCATAGCATAGCTCATAGATATTATACTTTATAGGGCAGATTCGCTTTTGTTTTTCTTTTTAACTTTTTGTAATTTTGGTTCCTTTTATTATTTAATTTACGATGTAAACATTGCTATCTAGATACGTGTAGAAACTATAAATAGAAATAATGACATAACATAATGTCTGATTCGTAGATAGAGAATCCTGGTACTCTTATTAGTTTGTGGTGAATCCTATCTCTGGCTCTGCCACCGTAGACAGAGAAACCTAGGTTTCTCTGTCTATGTCATAGATAAATAAATATGTAGCAAGGTCTATGTCTGCCATCTGCCACAGTCACCATAGACACGTATTTTTTATTAACTGTCTTTACGGCTCTGGGTTCTAGCCATGCCATAGATATGTAATAAATATGTAGACCAAAGACTATAGCAACCGAAACAGAGATTATAGCACTAAGTTTTATCGTACTGACCACTTTGATCTGAAATATCTCCTCTTTGGTTAAGAATTCCAAATTCGAATTTAGTCACTGACCTCCATATATACAAGTACGCTGGACTGGCTATACACCGTGACATGCTGAGGCAATTTGATTTCCGCCATTTTGGCACTGAAAGCAGAAGTGCACGTCAACAGAACTAATAATAGGGATAGACAGTGTGACAAAATATATCGATAAAAATTCTATACCCTATCTACACCTAAATAAATAGAATGGACTCTATGGATAGATGGACTTTACCTGTAACATCCATTCTATTTATGTATCATATTAATATAATGCCAATATCATTCATCATCATTAAAGCCCTTCACAAATTCACTGCTGAACATAGGCCTCCCCCAAGGAATGTCACAAAGCACGGTCCTGAGCCACCTGCATCCATCAACTTCCTGTATATCTTTACAGGTTTTCACTACATTTAGTGCTTCACTACATTCAACACTTCACCTGCCGGTACTAGGCTGCCAATCGAGAATCTTTTTTTAATTATTTTTATTTATTTATTCAGGATAACAACAGCTTATTAATACTTAAACAATATAACTTAAATTATTAAACATGAAAAAGCCAATTATAGATAACCCCAAAGTAGATAACCAAACATAACACTGTAAATCTAATACAATACAAAATAAAATCGGTAAGAACTATTACTAAACAGTAACAAATTAATTGAAGTATTAATATTACCTTCGTGACGTACATATATATACAAATACAGATGTATATACGTACAAAAGACATACATAATTACACTTACAAACACGCACATATGAATCTATAAATGCAAATATATTTTGGTGTTATTTTTATTATAGAAAATAGATAAAAAATTAAAAAGAGACACTAATATATACATACATACATACACAGATACACACACATATATATATCTACATACATACATACATATACATACATAATAACAGTATTAAACGAGGGCACAAATATTAATTTGAGTACTATTTTAATTACAACTTACTGATTACCTTCAGCTGGATAGAATAAAAACTTGTTAATTTTATTTTTAAATCCACTTTTAGTATTATTAAAAGGATCAATTGCGCTAAATTTTTTGTCGTAAGTTGCTACTAAACGCGTTAGAACATTGTTTTTCCCATAATTGCTCGGGTGAAAGGGGATGTAAAACAAAGAGTTTCTGGTATGTCTGGTACGTTTCAATGGGACATTAAATTTAATGAAAGCCAATAAGTCAGGGCAGTCAATTCCTCCGTGTAATATATTGAATAAAAACCCCATATCCAGCAGAATACGTCTTTCTTCAAGCATTAACATACCGTAAAATCTGCAATCGTCTCGATATGAAGAGCCAGAACGTCTAAATTTAAAATTTAAATGGGAAACGAACTTATGTTGAATCCCTTCGATTTTATGAACATATATAGCATAAAATGGCGACCATATCTGAGAGGCGTACTCTAATATAGATCTTACATATGCGAAATATACTACTTTTAGGCTTTGAGAATTAGAGAAAGGAAGACAAGTTCTAGCTACAAATCTAAAATTACGAAACGCTTTACTGCAAATAGCATCAATATGCTCATTCATTGACATACGGGAGTCAAAATATACGCGAAGAACGCGCACCACCGTAGTCCTCTCGATTATAACACCATTGAAATTGTATGAAAAAATATGGGATTATTTTTCCGCGTAAATGAAATACACTGACACTTACCAACATTTACCGTGATTTTATTAGCGACATAGTAATGGTATAATATAATATTTAAGTCATTTTGAATTAGTTCACAGTCCTTGATAGTGCGTACACGCAGATATATTTTTTTATCATCAGCATAAAGTAAATGTTGAGAATTTTTTATATATTAACATATATGATAAATATAGGCGTTGTAACCTCTCGAGCGCCCGGCCACCGTTTTACGGTGGACTGTTTTACCCCCGATAAGCGCCCATCGACCGTTATACGGTGGTGACGTAGTTGTCTCAAATAATATTAAAATGAAAAGCCGAAATAATGTTTGGCTCTTTCTAACGTATACTATATTGAAGCTAATGAAACGTTTAACAGATTTAATACACAAGCACGTATAGTTTCGACGATTGTTAAAACAAACAATCAGCTAAACTTGTCAGTAGGTGATGTCATATCGCTTTGGACGCTTAGTTAACTTCGAGCTGTAAATTTATTGTGTTGTAATTTGAGTATCACAAGAATAAAGTTTTTGGTAAATAGCTAAGGTTATTCATAATACATCGTAATATTATTTTCATTATAGTTTTGCTACCACGAACTTGTTTTACAGTATTTAAATTAGACCATCTGCCTAGCCAAACAAAACCGTTGCAAAAATCGTTTTAGATTTTAAGATATATGAAATATTTCTGATAAAATGTTTCTCATAATGGGAGAAATTATCATGAACTATTGTTATACCTTAAAAAAAAGATATACACAGTGCTTAAAATAAATCTAAATAACAAAATTATAAGAGGATGTCTCGAATAACCGTGATACGGTGGCGGGACGCCCCGAATTCTGAATTCATAATGGCGGCGAAATATATATTTACAAATGAACATAGAAGTCGTGGAGACGCTATATATATATATATACTGTAAGGATGCCTATTTTATGTGCCTATTTTATTTTATTTTTACCTAACTATTAACTACTTAGTGTTTTAAATTGTTTTCAGATTTAGCTATATAGCAGGATAAGACATATAGTGTGACAGTAGTTTAACAAGTTGTACTTGCGTTTATAAAGTAAATATATTTGAAATTAAAATTTTACCATGTTTCTCAGGATTTTAACAATGCAGAAATAAGGGTTTGTAGAAACAGCCCAGGTGGGGAGAAATTGCGCAGGGTTTGCGTTGAATGCCGTAAACACCCGCGTTTATTGCCCTGATTGCAACGTGACTTTGTGCCCGTTTACTTGCTTTGCGCAACATCACGCCACTAAATAATAATTTTAAGCTTTATAACCGACTTCTTAAAAGTAGGACGTTCTCAATTCCACCCGTATGTTTTTGTTTTTTTTTTTATAATTTTTTTATAATTTTTGTTTTATTATTATTTTACAATTTATCCAACTTTGCCACTCTTTCATTTTCGTCAAGTTGATCAATAAAACCATTTAAAAAAAAATTAAAAAATATTTTTCACCATTAACAAATTAAACTAAACATAAAAATGTAAGTGTGTGTGTATGTGAGCCGTGGTAGCTCAGTGGTTAACGCTCGCTGTAAATATAACAGAACGCGGGTAACCCGGGTTCGATCCCCGCCGGCACCAATGAAATTGTTAATTGTAATTTTAAGTGCTCATTTACCACGTGCTTGGCGGTGAAGGAAAACATCGTGAGGAAACCTGCATGTCTGAGGAATAAGAGAAAAAATATTTCGAAGACATGTGAAGTTCGTCAACACGCATTTGGGCAGCGCGGCGGACACTTCCTTGCCCTAAACCCTCTCAGAAATGAGGGGAGGCCTGAGTCCAGCAGTGGGACGTATATAGGCTGTAACTTTACTTTACTTTACTTTTTATAAAAATGTAAAAATAAAAACACCGATGAATTTAATATATTAATATATGCCTTTACAAATAAATATAAAATATTCGACGAAAGACGACTCTATACATTTTATGTCCTTAATTCTCAGTTTGGTTCGAAATTTCGTCAATGTTTTTAGTTGATTTTAATAACTCTGACAAATCATTAGAAATATGTGTTTATGTTTATTCATTTCATACTCAGTATAGTTATTGACAAAACAATTCATTTATAAAATTATCAAACAGTTTATTTTTACAGCCTTATCTTTAGCATTGGTATTTTTTGTGGATTTTTTTTTGTTTCGTGATATTATAGAAAATCTGACTACTTAAAACACGCGATGTATTATAAAAGAAACTCGTTAACAAGTTGAGCATAATAGGGGACCACAAAAAATATTTTAAGTGGCTAATCAAGGCCAAAAATGGCTTTGAACTCACATCTGTTGCAAGGATAGTATTTTGCTTTCGCAACTTCGCTTTCAAATCTATTTCTTTGACTAATTTTGTGAGAAGAGGATGATTTTACCTATTTATATTAATAAAATAACTAATAAATAACATTATAAGACCTTTTATAATGGTATTAATGATTCATATTGATTTTTAAATGCATTTTTCTACAAATATGTGTATACATTTACACATTTGTGTGATTAGACCGCTTGAAATATTTTCACTTGCTATCAGAATTAGTTAATTTTATATACATAATAAAGCAAATTTCATGCAGATTCTGAATATATATATATTGATTAGTGTTAATAAATGAATTTACGTCGAAATCAGCATTTAAACGTTGACCGCCAACTTAAATTCATACGCTAAATTTGGCCGGGGCGCTTGTCGACTTTATGACGTTTGACGTTTGGTCGCTCGAGAGGGTAAAAGAGAGGACCAAGGTGGGAGCCTTGAGGAACACCAGAGGGAACCGTTACGAAATCTGACCTATAACCGCCTAGAACCACAGCTTGAGAGCGGTTAGTCAAATAAGATCTAATCCATCTCAGTAAGTCCCCATGAATGCCGAGAGACTGCAGCTTCTGAAGAAGTATGACGTGTTCCACACGGTCGAAGGCTTTTTCAAAGTTGGTGTAGATCACGTCAACTTGACCTCCACCTTCCATTACATGAAGAACAATAGTAGAAATTTGCAAGATTGGAAATAGTAGAACGCTTTTTCAGAAAACCATGTTGCGTACTCGGGATGTATCTAAATATTGTAGCATAAATTTTATTAAAAATAAGTGTCTCAAATATTTTAGCAATTGTACTGAGAATAGAAATTGGACGATAATTATCAATTTTTGTTTTAGAACCTTTTTTTTATGAACCGGTATTATATATGCCTTTTTCCAAAGTGTGGGAAACACACTTTCTCTGAGGGAAAGCTTAAATACATAATACATAAACACTCACACCTGTCACCCAGAGGGGTAGGCAGAGACTACAGACTTTTAGCACGATCCTGACATACCTTTCTCGCCTCTTCCACATCCATATACCTACGCATACATGCTCGTCGGTTAAGGGTACTCTTAATTTGGCCCATTTTTAGTATATCGCCAATTTGGTCGACAAACTTCCGCCTAGGACGTCCCTTTCCGACTCTTCCATTCACTTCTGCAACATATATTTGCTTTGTCAGTCTTTCCGCATTCATTCTTTCTACATGACCAAACCACCGAAGCATTCCTTTCTTAATCCTGGTCACCGCATCATCTTGCAAACCACACTCTTCTTTTATCACACAGTTTCTCACCCTGTCACTCAGATTCAGCCCTAACATACTCCTTAGCGACCGCATTTCTACTGCATTTATTCTACTCTCGTGCTTCTTCCGCCACACCCAACTTTCACTACCATACGTTAAAGTAGGGACTAATACAGCAATGTGAATTGCCATACGTGCCTTTTTTGACACATTCTGACTTTTCACAATAGAGTGTAGAGCCCCATTTACTTTATTTCCTGCATTCAATCGTCGTTCAATATCCTTATCATATCTCCCATCCCTGCTGAATACACATCCCAAATATATGAACTCATCCACTTGCTCAATTAACTCTCCTTCTATTCTTATTTCACATACCGTTTTGCTTTCATCTCTTTCAAAAACCATCACTTTCGTCTTACTTGCGTTCACTTTCATTCCCCTTTCTTTTAATGACCTGTTCATTAATGTAACCATCATTTGCAACTCGGCCGCCGACGACGCAAGTATGACTTGATCATCGGCGTACAAAAGGCATTTGATGGTTAACTCATCCATTCTTAACCCGCATTCTTCAACTTTCAAATTTTCCAAACAGCTGTCCATAAATAGGTTGAACAGCCACGGGGAAGCTACACAGCCCTGTCTGACACCTTTATGGATGCCAAACCAGTCCGAGTAGACCCCGTTGATTCTAACACAAGCACTCGAGTCCCTATACAGAGACTTTAATGCCTGTATCAAACCAGCGCTCAACCTAAATGCGTTCAGCGTTTGCCATAACACATCCCTGTCCACTCTGTCATAAGCCTTTTCCAAGTCCATGAACGCACAAAAAATTTTTTGGTTTTTCGCCAAAAACTTCTCCGCGATCATGCGCAATGGAAAAGACTTGATCTGTACACCCCACTCCCCTTTCTAAATCCCGCTTGCACATCCCAAATTTTTTCATCAGTTTCTTTCATAACTCTTTCAATTAGTACCTTAGCATACAGTTTTCCCACAATGCTAAGAAGGCTGATACCACGGTAGTTTTTACAGTCCTGCTGTGACCCTTTTCCCTTATATATTGGGACTATCACGGCTTTGCACCAGTCTCCCGGTACCCGCTTTAGTTCCCAACATAAATTAAACAAGGTGTACAGCAGGCCTGCCACCACGTCCTCTCCAGCCCTTAGCATTTCGGGTGAAACTCTATCATATCCGGCTGCCTTACCTACTTTCATGCTTTTCATTGCTTTCATTATTTCATCTATACTTATCTCCCTATCTCTTTCATCTTCTTTCGGAATTTCTATTTCATTTAGTTCACACTTCTCCTCACTCATAAATTCGCTTTCAAAATATTCCTTCCATCTCTTTAGACTCAACACTTCATCATTCAAGATACAGCCATTCTCGTCTCGTATCGCATTCAATCTAGGCTGTTTTGAAAGTCCCCTGGTATTTCTTACGAGTTTCCAGAACATTTTAATATTTGCCTGGAAGTTATCCGATATTCTTCTATCATTCCTATCCATTCTTTCTTGATTTTTCCTTTCAACTAATTCTTTTACTCTCTTATTTAAACGTTTAAACTCAGCCTTTTTTCTTTCATTCTCATCATTCTTACCGCCAGAATTACCAGCTTTGGTCGCTAGTAAATCTAGCCATGCTCTCTTCTTTGCTTCAACTTCCATACGTACCTCATCATCCCACCATAACGTATTGTCTTTCCTTTCATTCGTTCTCTTACCATACTTCGGTAGCTGCATCCACTAAACCTTTCTTAACATTATGCCACACATTCTCCAAGTCTAACTCATTCACACACAACTCATCCAAATTACTTATATTTTCTCTCAGTCTGCATTTGTACTTGTCTTTCACATCTTCATCTTGTAACCTCTCAATTCTTATACGCTGTAATGCAGTGGTAGACACAGATGTCCTATGCCGCCAACGTCTGAATAAACCCCTAATTCGGCATAAGACCAGGTAGTGGTCCGTCCCTACGTTGGACCCCCGGTAAACCCTTGTATCCACCACTGCGCTCCTCATTCTTTCATCCACAGTTATGAAATCTATCATGCTTCTATCATCACCTCTTTCCCAAGTATACATGTGAATCTTCTTATGACGAAAGAAAGTGTTCGTCACAAAAAGATTCCTTTCCACACATATGGTGAGGAGGCTTTCACCATTCTCATTTATACTTTCATCACCAAACGTTCCCAATATCCTTTCATAACCAAGCCTCCTCACCCCAACCCTTCCATTAAAATCTCCTAGCATAATAATATTTTCATTTCCCTTACACTTCATTAACACCATCCTTACCATTTCCCAAAACTGCTCCCGGATATAAGTGGGCTTAGACATGTCTGGGGCGTAGACCCCTAACACAAACAACTTCTTTAAGCCCACTTTCATTCGTATCCATAGCAGTCTTGGGCTTACACATTCATACTCTTTCACACATTGGCCCATTCTTTCTGAAAGGATGATACCTACTCCCTGGCATGCCCGCTCGATCTCGTCTACACCAGACCAGTATGCGGTATACATGCCATGTGCAGTGACATCCTTCCCCTTCCTTTTCGTCTCATTCACACATAATACATCTATTCCTCTATCATACATCATATCGCATACTTCATCCATTTTATCATTCATTGCCCCCACATACATTCAACGTAATTATTCCGAAACCCACAGAGTCTAATCCCGTCAACCTCACTGATTTCCGTCCCATTTCGATTTTACCTTTCCTTTCTAAGGTCCTTGAAAAACTTATTTGCCAACAGCTGACACTTTTCCTTAATAAGCACAATTTGTTGAATTCTTTACAATCCGGTTTCCGTCCCGGTCATAGTACGGCTACTGCCTTAATTAAAGTTACTGATAACATACTGTGGGGTATGGATAATAAACAACTCACAGTCATGACCTTGCTAGATTTCAGTAATGCGTTCAATACTGTTGATTTCGATATACTGTTGAGTCAGTTGTATTCCCTTAACATATCTCCATCAGTAATTGACTGGTTTCAAAGTTATCTCTGTGGCCGTCGGCAGTGTATTCATGTTGAAACTCACTCATCTTGGTGTGATATTACTGCAGGCGTGCCGCAGGGTGGCGTGTTGTCACCTTTACTCTTGTCCATTTTTATTAATTCAATTACTCATAAAATTTCTTCTCTCTACCACATGTATGCGGATGATGTCCAGATTTACACCCAGTCAACTCTTGAGAATTTGACGAATGCAATCGCTACATTAAACAATGACTTAAATTATGATTCATGAGTGGAGTCAATCATATAGCCTAAATGTCAATCCTAAAAAATCACAGGCTATCATTTTTGGTAGTCAGAGCTTTATCTCAACTCAAGAATTGACTGGTTCTCCATACCACCTGTTGTATTCGATGGGGTTGTGATCCCTTACTTCGACAATGTCAAAAATCTTGGTGTTTACCTTGATAGTTCCTTAAATTGGAAACGCCAACTGAATGAGGTAAGTAAGAAAACCTTTGTCGCTCTTAGTTCACTGCGTCGCCTTCGATCATTTCTTCCCATTCCTACAAAAATTATGCTCGCACAGTCTCTTCTCCTTCCGATTCTCAACAATGCTGACGCAAGCTATGTAGACATAACTAAAGACCAGCTAACTAAGCTTGGGAGACTTCAAAATACTAGTATTCGGTTCATATTTGGATTGCGCAAATTTGCCCTATCCAATTTCGCCGGAACATGCATATTCTTTCTATTCTGTACTGTGTCTTATTTCACCCTTCGACTCCTCCTTATCTTAAGGAGAAGTTTAGTTTTGTTGGGCTTCCAGGGGAACCTTTACGCTCTTCAAGAAAACTCATTTTAAGGGTACCAACTCACAATACATCTTTCTTTAATAAATCTTTTACTGTACAGTCTATTAAGCTCTTGAATGCCCTACCTTTGTATATACGCGAAGCTCAGACTATTATATAACGTCGGGAATTAAAAATAAGTAAAATCAGTTGAAATAAACGCATAGAATCCGTAAATTTAGTTTTATTCATTGTGTAGTGTTCGCGTAAATTTAAGAAATCATTATAACCCCCTTACCCGTTAACTTCATCTTCATCTCATGAAGAGAAAAACAAATTAGCTGGATTGAAAAGCACAGAGGGTATCGATGGAGTGAGGGCTTTGTTGACTATAGAGAATTTCACAGAATTATCAAGAAATATTGAAAGATAAAAAGATTTTTAAAAGGACGTGAAAAAATAAAATGGATACAAGATCACTGCGACAAAAATAATAATATCTATACATTTTCTAAATCTGTAGAAAAGTCGTGTCTGTATTGTAATATATTCTTGAAATAACAAGTCCCCGGGATAGTATATAGTGATCTGTGCCCGGGACTAAGTAAAGGGTACTGAAGCTAAATTAGCGGTTTTTAGAATTTTTGTCTGGCTGTCTTTCTGTGTATTCACGATTCACGCAAAAACTACTGGACCGATTTCCATAAAATTTTGTATGTTGGTAGTCAGTAACCCAGGGCTACTTATAGGCTAATTTTTATCTGATTAAGGAACTTCAAAAAAGAAGGTCGTCTTTTCCTTTCTTTAAATATTAATTTTATATTATGATTGTCATTTTTTTTTTCAAATAAATAGCATATTTATAAATAAAGTTCCAAAGTTACTTTAACCTTTCTTTAATAAATTAAAACTACGCCGACGATCTACATTTTAGTTTTCAAAACAGCGCCATGAATGATCAAATAAAAAGTACATTTTGCGTTCAGTTACTAATAAAATATAATTGAATAAATTACATTTTTAAGGTAAATAAATGAGATATATAAAATTATTTAAAAATCCTTACGTTCATTTTTAGCTTTTTCGTTATTTCATTTCAAAAGTTTAACAGATAATCGTGACTTTTATCAAAAATATGAAAATCTATATGGTTTTTAGTTTGATTACCTACTAATGTGTATTATGTAAACTGATCTGCCTGCAATTATTGCAAAATTCTCATTATCCTTATAGTGCGACCAAAGAGATTTTTATGTAATGTAATGGCCAAATCGTAGAGTGATCAAATATCTTATAGTAACAAATTTCGTGTAATAGTACTAGTAGTAGTAATTTAACACTGTTTGTTGACTATGTCATAATAAAATTTGGAGACGGTTTGACGATCTTAAACTCAAATAACTAAATAACATTGCTATTTCATGATATTGTGGTAATTTATCGTCAAATAGTTTTTCACTGCTAGCGGCGCTGATAGCGTATTTTTAACACAAACAGAGTTTTTAGCAGAATCAACGCTACTTTATGGCTTATTTATATAATAAATAAATGTTCGTGGCCTTGAAACCTCAACCTTCTATCGCTGATATTACTAGAAAGCATAGTTTTGGCTTTCATTATTTCATCTAATAATAGCGCCATCTACTCACTGCTAAATAAACTAATGATAAGTCACTGATAAAATTAAATAATAGAGGCTACTGAATACTTATTCGTTTAGAATCAAAACTTTAAATACCCAGACCTGTGGTCATCCTAGTGATGATTTATTGCAATTACCACGTTTGGCAAAATGACTAACGATACTGTTGTATTTGGATGTAGATAAGCAGAAAGGACTCAATCCACACATTGGTCAAAATTGAGTTAAGACGAGGCATGACCCTAAACGCAAGTTTTATAATCCTCAAAGTATATGATCCACTGCAGTAAACAAACCCAGAAATATATTAATATATGATATTGTCCAGGATATATGCTAGTTAGATAGTGTGTTGAAAACATGATACCACTAATTTAATACGATAGAAGAAAATGACAAACATACCTCTAAAAATTTCTTTTAACTAGTAAAAGCCATACTAGTA